CCGTTCTAGACATTCTAATGTGACATTTTATCCCTCTACTTCCAAATATTGTTGTTAAAAAATTTCTAACTTTACTTGTTTTTGCAACATTGTAGGTTGACCATTAAGTACCCTTTTACCATATAGAGTAATATAATTTCTTAGCTATATGAAACATAAAAAAATTATAAAGGATACAAATCATACGTCTTAAACAATACTCTATAGGTGAAAAAGAGGGTTTTGCAACGAATGCAAGATTCTTATTTTTGCACGTGGATTTTTAACTTTCCGTAGGGTAAGTTATTGTAATCGTCCAAAAATCGAAATCGGAAATTTTTGCATTTCTCGACATTTCGAAGGTTTTTGAACACTTTGGCATACTTCAGAAAAAATGGATGTGTGAGTGTGTGTGTATGTATGTATGGATACAATTGCCATACACCCCACTAGTTTGGTCTGTTTTAGCAATTTTCTTGCATATATGGGGTTGAAGTTGAAAGCCAATCATTTTTGACAGATTTTAATTATTTTTATTGGCCTTGTAGATCTTGCAAACTAGTGCTATGTTAGTTTGTTTGAAATTGATCAAAAAAAGCTAAACACCTGATTATTGCAATAAAATTGATCAAAATTACTAGTACTGGTAAGATAATTGATTTTCATTGAAAGAATCACAAGTGACAATAAATAGGTTAAAAAAACATTAGATAGACACCTCAACATCTGACAGAATTGTTATGGTGGCTTTCTTCATATTTTACAGTCATGGAAACATAAAATAAAACTAGCCATTTTCTAAATAAGGCCACTGTTCATTTTTCATATATATTATTTCGTCCATATTTTCACTCTATGATTACTATGACGTATCTAATCAAATGCTAATAAAATATTATCATCATATTGTATAATAATAAATAATTTTTACCAATATACAAAATTTAGTTTATTATCTAACGTTTTTAAGTATGTATCCAATTATTATTATTATTAATAACTTAAAAAAAAACGATACGATTAATAGCCCTTAGGAGTATAATTTAGGAGTAACATTGTCAATGGACAACTTGACTAATTGATATACATCTACAAATTCACTATTCCAAGTTTTGCCCTATTACCTTACCACTTCTATTACCGTAGGCGTTGATGTGAACAATATTAGAAATATGTAATGTATCCGAATGCATTCGTATTTGAATTAGTGTTCAGTATTTAGGACGGCTCCATCAAACGAATCTCAATTACCGAATTATGTATATTTGTCGTTGATACCCAACTGACACATATTTCGTGAGAATGGTGCTAGGCTACTCCTACATTTAATGTGAGCGGCCCGATCTGTGTCTCTACCGCGTGGCCCGAATGTCTTAACTTGCGTGTGGTGCATCTAAGATATGAAGCGATGAGTGCGTGTGAAACGGTTCAATGTTGAAATATCTTAATTGGTAGTTGATCTTTAAAACTAGTGGTGCATGGCATCGTGCCTTAAGGCAAATTGCTAGAACTTTCCGTACCGTAATTTAAAATCTTGGTACAAAACCCAAAAAAATAACACAAAATGTGTACACATTATTAAAATCTCTATAAAATATCTGATAATTTTATGTACATATGTCCAATAAACATTTTTAACCGCCAAATGACATTTTTTTAGCTTATTTTTATTGAGAGTCTATAACCGCCGGACCAGCCTTCCCAAAAATTTAATCAGTTTTTCATGTTGTCAATAGAAGTAAAATGTTATTTGAATTATTAAAGTCGGACGCTCCATTTTTAAATACTGAGTTACCGTTTTTCGCACTTTTTGCCCCGTATCTTTCGAACGGCTAGAACAGCCTTTGCCAAAAACTAATCAGCACGTCTCCTTATCAATACGAATCGAATGTTTTTTGAATTATTCAAATCGGTTGATCGTTGTTTCCTAAATCGTCGACGGAAGTTTGTATTCCGCACACACACAGACACACACACATACATCCATTTTCTCTAAGGTATTTTTTTTAAAACGTAAAGATATATAAAAATTTTCTTTTTCGATTTTTTTGCGATTACTATAACTTGCCCTAGGTGAAGTTAACAAAACTGATGTTTAGAACTTTAGCTAGAATTAGAATTAAAATCCGAATTATTTTTCGATATTCAAAAAAAATATTTTTTGAAAATTTTTGAATTGAAACCGAAACAGCTGGACTTACCTTTTACAAAATCCAACCGCTACTTCTTCCCATCATTACGAATCGAATGTTTTTTAGATCACTTAAACCGGTTGATCCGTTCTCTTGAAAATAGAGATTTTTAACACTTTTTGCCTATATCTACTAAGTCGCTTAACCTGTCTTCGTCAAAAACTAATCAGCACGTCTCCTCATCAATAGGAATTAAATGCTTCTTGAACCTTTCAAATCGGTGTTTGTCTCCACACATACACACACAGATCCATTTTTTCTGATGTATGCCAAAATGTTCAGAAACCGCTAAAACGTGACGATATGCAAAAATTTTTATTTTCGATTTTTGGCTTATTACTATAACTTACTCTACGGTAAGTTAAAATAAAATGTTTTTTGAATCATTGAAATCAGACGTTCTGTTATTTCAAAAACTAAATTGCCATTTTTATCACTTTTTGCACATCTTCGAAACGGCTAAACATGCCTTTGCCAATTAGTACGTATTCTTATCAATAGGAATCGTATAAATCTTTAAAAATTTATTTGATATTCATACGTTTCGACTAACAAGTCGTGCCTTCATTAACTGTAAAATAAAACTGTTAATTCAAAAAAATATGTAACAAAACAACCCAAATACTCCACTATGGTAATATATTTTTATGACATCACATACAATAAAATAAACATGAATAACAATTATCAGAATATCGCAATTGTGTATACTGCTTTAAGTATACAATTGAAATGTCAGATATTTCTTAAAATACTATATTTTTCATGAAATGTGTACAACAAATTGTATTTTGATCATATTTAACTTCCTTAATTTTGTAACTTCTTAGTGAATTTTAAAATATTATCCTTATTTCTCATAGATAACTTTTCAAATTATGCGACAAGATAATGTCTTTGACACAGATAAGAGTTTATAATTTTTACTGCTTTTGTGTGTCAATTTAATAAATAAAGAACATTTAGTAGGTAAAAAAGATTAGGATTTGTAACAATTGCAAACGTATCACATAAATTTGTTGCGGAATGTTTTTTTTAGAATTTGATATACGTCTATATTTACACAAAATTTAATTAAACCTATAAAGAGTATAATTGCAGAAATTCTCTATCTCATTTTATCGTCGATTGTGATATTTATTTAAAATTCAAATTGAGGAATGTGAGGAATGTGCTATTGTCATACTTACGTATATTTGTTTAAGCATGTGAAAATATACGACCATATGGTGACGAACAAAACACAATTATTGTTTTAAATGTTGTACAATATATATAAACTATATAAAAAAATTGTTAAATTTAAAGATTTAACTTAAAAGTAATAATCACTTAAAAGGAAATTTTTGCTAGGACCGAATGAAAAAAATAATTATTATTTAAATAGAGTTCAATTGCTAACATTATAAGCTTCTTATTGAATATCCTTATAATATAATAATGTATAATGAGAACAAGAAATTTTGATGATCAACTACTGGAATTTTTATCGAATTTGACATAGAATACTGACTAATTCGATTTTTTTTTCATAAGTTTATAAAAAAATCTTTTGAATACAGAAATTGCAAAAACGTTAAACATATTGCAAAAAAATGAAATTGTTTTACACAAATGAGTGCGTGGTATTTAATTGTTAATTTTGCAATAAAATAATATCGACTTTCTAAAAAAGAATACGCTTTTATCGTTTTTACGTTAAAATTGTTGATATGAATTGACTATATAAAATAAAATAAATAAGTGTAAAATTATTGAAATATTGAAAATCCTAATTATGCATCTTTTTGCAAAGTTTTAAAATATGTATTTACATCTGAAGTTTTCGTTCATATATTTTCATTTTTTTGTAAAAAAAATAATACATAACAAAATTATAAATTATAAATATTATTTTTGATATTTAATAGTACGGTCATTCGTGAAAATTATTCGTTATTATGAAAATATATTGAAAAATATAGTATTACTGAGTTTTGTACTTTTTTGCAAAGTCATACCATACATATATTTATTTTATTTGAAAAAATATTACTTATAGTCACTCCTATAGGTTTCATACTCCAAATATTTGTTTTGATTCATTCACAGAGTGATTATTAGACAGATATTTTCATTGTTAATAAAAATTATTGACATTTTCAGAAAAAAAAATTAATGGTATAGAATTTCGAATTTTGCAATGTTATACAGTAAGTGAATTATTTTGAATTGCTCGTAATAAAATAGTTTTTATTTTTGATAAAGATGATAATATAAAATTATTCACTCACAAGTGTCATTTGAACTATTCAATATATCTCATTTGTTTTTTTTTTGAAAACTTTATTTCAAAGTTGTTTTAATTTTTCAATTACAATAATAGCTCTTATTACCTAAGAAATGTTAAAAATAAATTTGCCATGCACTATTAGTTTTTAACAATGCTATTTATTGTTTTATTATATAAAAGTTGAATTCAAAGATGAGGAAATCAATATCATTTATCAACAAAAATTGTTTAAAACTTGAAATATTATTTTAAGTTTATTAGAAAAAATTATTCGCTGTTTTTTCAAAACAACATGTCGCAAATCAATATTTTGTTATGTGTATAGATAAAATTCTTGAAAATCGATAAAAATTAGCGACACTATCTATACATTCGTTTCCCTCGGTAGCCTATTTGTCTATTCCGATACCTGTATCCACCTGTATCGTTGTTATCGTCGCGTAAGGCCGATATCAAATCAGCTACTTTTTACCACATGTCGTCGCATTTGCGTATTTGCACAGTATCGAATCCATCCATTCCTTCGGACGATTTTCGTTTACTTTCAGTCTGTAGGTAGATCGTTGGATAAAATATATATGAATACGTGTACGATTTTATAAAAACATAATTAGTGATAGATTTACTAAAATAAGTTGTAATACCTTGATGGATTTAATGACGCACATATGGTGAGTTGATGAAGTAAAATATAGAGTTCTGGTTAAAACCCATATTAGTTTCAAAACTTGTTACATTTTGATTCAAAATTTTTACATACATTGTGATTCAAAATTTTTAAATTAAATATAGTTTATTAAATAATTATCTAGAGTTAATGCTATATGTTGATATATTCTGCAACCAGATGTGGATTAGGTTCAACACCAAAGTTAATTTTCTTTTCATTTACTTTTGTATAAAAATTCGTAAAATTAGTAAAATGGTCTTTATTCCTTTTATTTATTCACTAGAAAATCACGTGTAAAGAATAACCATAATATCTTCATTATGTCTAGGCAAGTATAAAATAAAAATTATCATAGAATTTATTTAGCAAATGGCTAACAGTATAAGCAACAATTTGGGACCTAAATTTAGATCTATTTTTGGACCTAACTTGGAACTTTTAGCTTCTTTAGAACTGCATATGATTTTTTTTAAGTTAAAAGTAGGTTTGAAAGTTATTGTTGATAGTACTCCACTTATGTGTCTCTATTACTAATAATTTTTAGTATTAAAATCTATCTTTTATTTATTTATTCAATATTGAACTATGATACTAAAAACTGATCAGTGCTTTTAAAAAGTGACATTTTTTGTTAGTTATGTTTGTATAAAAAATAAACCAATAAAATATTCCTTATTCCTTCTATTGTGTACTAGAAAATCACAAGAAAAGAATAACCTATATTAGTAGGACCTATATTTTAAAAACTATAGCAGTATTTTATTAGCAATAATTTGGGACCTGATTTGGAACTTTTAGGTTCTTTAGTGCATTTTTTAAGTGCATTAAAAAATAAGAAAAAATGTTTGAAACTTAGAAAATAGTGTCAAAAGTATAGTTGGAAGTAGGTCTTTTACTTAGGTCTATATATATTACAGAAGATTTTATTATTAATATCGAGACTTATTATGGGACCTTTGGATTAATCCAAACTAATTTTGCTAAACTATTGTTTAGAAGTGCATTAGAACAAATTAAAAAAAAGTTGAAAATAGGTTCAAAAATTGTAGTTTACAGACGATTTTATCATTAATATTATAATCTATGTTCTTATATATTTTTTTACTAATATTGACTAACTAACTATGAAGTTAAAATGTGAATGCATGGTGATTTAAAATATGATATTTTCATTATATTTATTATAATATAAAAACATATACAAATTAAATGATTTAATTATGCATCCGCAATTATAGTTTAAATTGGCTTTACTATTTGTAGTATATTAGGTAAATATGTAAAGTTTGATATTGAGCATTAATGTATTTCTGCTACGTTGCAAAAATGTGTATTATCGCACATTAAGCAACTGTGAGTGATTTTGCATTGAATTCATTACAATTTTAGCTATATAACATAAAATAATTATATTTGTTCGCCTGTGTTATCATATTAACGATAATAAAAAGGTTATTTATTTGCTATAATTATTTTTCAAGTACTATATGTTTGTCAGAATGTTGTTTATTCGTATATGCAAAACAATCGATTTTTTAATTATGACATTTGGGGAATACTTTTAATACATTACTGGTCAATTATCAATGAGCTTAATTTGGATAATGTGTATATTTAGTTTTAGATTTTAATAAATTTATTATCCATTCTAATTCATTTTTGTTTTATTTAGACGGATATGGAATCAGCAACCCTGCGGCAGAGGTTGGAGGCAGCCGAAGGAGCACTCAAGCTGCAGACAATCCGTTGCTGTCAACTAGTGACCGAGTACACCGGCAAGTTGCAGCGGAAAGATGAACAACTTTGCTGCGAGCAGCAGCTGCGGGAAAGGCAGCTCTCCTATGTTCTGCAGGCACTCCGTTTATTCGAAGAACGTCTTCAACGTGAACAGAAGAGCATACGTCAACTATTGCTGGACAAAGACAACGTTATCTCTTCTCAAAAAGGAGAAATTCTCAAGTTAAGATCCATACCGGAAGATCAAACAGAACTGGATAATAAAGGCAAGCAGTATTGTGATAACTGTCAGGTTATGTTTGATGCCCAAAATGCCCTTATGAGTAACTTGAAAGTCTCTGAAGTTGAAATGACTACTACCGCCAGTTCTGGCGAGGATTGCTCGACTCGAAGCGAAACTAGTGATGTGATTAGTGTGAAGAACTCAAAAGATTTGACAAGAAATGTTCGACGCAGCAAAAAATATTCAGCGCAACGCAAAAATGGAGACGGAAGACGTCAAGACCCAATTCCGCCATTCAGTAGTTCCAGTGATGAGCAAGATGATCGAAGTATTATATCTAAAGAAGAAGAAGTTGGTTTCCGAAGACAACCATCTTTCTCTAATTGGGTTGACAGTTTACACGGAATTAAGCAAACAAAAGCTGAACCAAGCTCTCCTACAACAGAAACTGTAAAATCTCAAGATACAATAATCGAAAACAATATTTCATTGGAAGTGAACATCACTAACAATCAGGAATCTTTGACCACTAATGATGATACCAAAATTGATGAAAACTGGTACACAAATACAAGCGACGCAGAAGATAGTAATATACCAGAGATATATAAAGATAATCCAGTATTAGAATGTGTTAACCAAATTTTATTGCAAAATTCAAGAGATGCCAATTCATCGGAAGATTCTAGTCCAAAATTAAGTTCTAAGCGTGTGCAATTTGCCGCTCAAGATACTATATTAAAACCACCACCAGCTCCTAAAGGAATAATTTCAAATCACTCCAAATCTTCAGAAAATTCACCAAAAAGTCCCAAAATGGTCAAGTTCAATTTAGAAGCCATACATTCTGACAGAGATTATGAATCACCAGCAGACTGCTTCAACTATGAAATCCAAAGCATATATAGCAATGATTATGAGGCAATTATCAATAGAAACGCACAATGTTCACTTAAAAATAGTACAGATAAGTTTGTTAAATTGGAGAAGGAAAATCATCATTATGTTGATATGGACACAACCAAATCAAAGCAAGAGAAAATCATTCCAAAGTTACCACCCGCACTTCCACCAAAACCGCCTAATCTTATATCTAAATATAAAATCCATAAAAATCTGGAAAGAACAAAAATGAGCTCTGATGTTGTTGAATGTGTTCAACAAATTAATGATGCTGTTTCTGATATACCTGAGCCTGACTACTGTTCAATTTCTGAAATAAGTGAACAAGTAGCCGTAGTGCCATTGATTAAACCAAATATGACCACACCACGTGTGATAGAAGCACAATTATCAGTTCAAGAGCCAGATATACCAGTAGTCAAAGTGGCCCCTGTCACTAGACTGCAGACAATAAATTTAAATCATTTGCTAGATTCTGCTGATTCTGAGGATTCTAGTTATGTCAGCGTGGACGCAATTAAGTTGCCTGAAGTTTCTGAAATAATAATACCAAAGGAAGATCGGTATGATCATGATAATTATATAAAAAATAATTCGGCGCTTTTGAAAACAAGCAAATCCAGTCAGGATGAAATCACATGCATTATACCTGTAATTAATAAATTAAAGCCAGAAATAGTAAATAAAACACCGAGTGATATTGTTAATAACAATGACAATGCTTGTAAGAGCAATGTTTTGCATACATTTGAAAATTTGGATCTTAGTCAAACATTTGAAGAATTCAAACTGGACGAAGACGATATTAATGGAATGGAAGTTGAAGAGTATGTAATAGAAGATAATCAAGATTTTGTATTTCACGAAAGTGATGAAAATGAGCAACCAAATGCACCTGATGAAATTATAGCAGATAAGGTAGAAACATTTTACAATTTATCAAAAAGCACATTATTAGCCACCCAATTTATGAGGTCTCAATTAATACCTGATGATTCTTTGGAGTTAATGGATACCGTGATCAAGGAAAAAGAAGACTCAATAAAAAGTATGTCAGAATCAGACAACGACATTATTGAACATAAAAATTTAAATGGTTATCCACATCATATAAATAAAAATTATGAGTCTTTTCTTGAAACATCAGGATTAAGTTCAAAATCAATTCAAAATTTATATAAAGTAAATAATATGCATTTAAGAATTGGTGGCAAACCAATCAGTCCTATGAAACCGGGAACAACAGTCAAATATTGGTCTGGACCGTACTTATAAAATAGTTTTATATATAAATAACTATATTTGTAAATATGATTTATTAGTATAATTTGCTACTGCGTAGGTAAAAATCTGAATAAAGTCGATATATTCAAATTATTTATTTGTATTATATGTTTAAATAAAATGTATAACATATGCTATTGTTACATAGATGTAACTACAATATTGTAATAAACTCCAGTGAAACAAATTTCTTTAATTTTTAGATTATTGTTTATTAACAGAATAACTATGCTTTTATTTTATTATTCATTGATTGAGGAATGTTACAAGTATAATAATATCTTATAAATTACTAACATCAGATTTACATTTTATTTTCATATAGTATATAGACTTCATAAAGTCTAATTTTATTCATCCGCTATTTTTGAATGTGTGATTCTATATTATCCAAATATGTTTTTATTCTCTCATCTAATTCAAAATATTCTCATGTAACTTAAAAACAGAAACTTGAAAGTGACTGTATCCTTTTGTACTTATAGGGAAATTTTTATTAATAGTCTCGCATTGATCGATTAAATTAGCTTGTTTGAATTTATTCTTAGCAATATTAAAGAGCTTTATTTGAAAGTAAAACTTTTCTGCATTTTCACGTGATATTTGTCTAATAGCCATACTTTCATCGTTTCCATGATGAACAATAAATTGTTTTCCAAAAGTAGTAAAAATTGTTAAGTCGTTGCACATGGCTGTTATTGAAAATGTAGAACCAACTTTGTATAAAATAGTTTTGGATTTGCAATTTTCTAGCAAATGCTTATACAAATTGTATAAACATACTTTAATTTCACATTTAGGGCAATTTACAGGGACAAAAACACATAAGTTTACATGATCTTTAAGTGTTTGCGGTGTTAGAACTTCTTCACAACCAAAGTAGTTGTAGTCACATTTCATATTTATTGCAGACACCAACGATTCTACCAAAAAATTTCTTTGTTTTAAAATAGGACTTTTACATAAAGGACAATCCTGTACTTTGAGTGAACAATCTGAGCATAAACTATGACCTTGCGAACAGTTTATAACCTTTTTTGACATTAAGTTTTTGCAAATCATGCATTCCAACAATAATGCGACTTCTTTTGGAATAACATTGACACCAATAAATCTTATTTGGACTGGTCCTTTATCAATTGTTAATTTAGAAACATCATGGCTATTGAAAGCAGTCGGATTATCTTGATGAGAAAGGATATTTCCCTGGAACAGCAGCTTGCTATATTTGCAAGAAATAACGTATGTTTTCAAAGAATAAGTGTTTTCATGCGAAAAAAATTGCTGCACAGAAATGAATCGCTTGCCATTATTGTGATGCTGAGTTACCCAATAATATTCATTCTTAAAGTATTTTTTGCCATACCTTTGTACAAATATAGCTTTATCTTCAAAATTTAATTGGCATGACCAATTCTTACTTTCGAATATAAAAAAAATATTCTGCTTATGTGCTTCAAAAATATGTTTTGTAAATTTTGGATCAGTATGTGGTTGTAACCATCAAACGGCATATCACAAATTTTGCACACATACTTCACTGGTCTGCTAGGACATCTTATTTTATGTTCTTCTAATTCAGTTTCTTTCAAATATAATCCGCAGTTGAAGTCGCAAGGAATCCGAAACAATCTGAAATATAAAAATTGCGCCTTAATTGTATATATATGAGGCAAATCTATATGAAATATGAGGCAAAATTTTCAGAAAAATTAGAGCTCCTTAGAAAAAATGAATGTGTGGGTGGGTGTATGTAGTATGCATATGTGTATGGATACAATTTTTCATCCACGATTTCGAGAGCACGAATCATCCGATTTCAATTATTCAAAATACATTTTATTGGTATTGTTGGGGAGACGTACTGATTTGTTTTTGGCAAAGCATATCCAGCCGTTTCGAAGATACGGTGTAAAAAGTAACATAACAATTTTGCGGGAAGGGGTGTCCGATTCAAAAATTAATAATAATTACTATTAATATTAACTTTCTGAAGGAGAAGTTCATGTTTTCATCACAAAATTTGATTCGCGATTCCAAATTTCAGGTTTTCTCGATGTTTCAAGCCATTCTGAATCGAATGAGACCAGATTTGGAAAAAGAATGTGTGCGCGTGTATCTAAAAAGAATTTTTGCTGTAATTCAACGTTTTCTGAAGAACGGCAGGATCGATTTTAAAAATTTAAAAGCCATTCGATGTATCTCTAGCGTTTCTCAGGTTTGTGCGACGATCGACTGACCCGTTTCTTTGTAAATCGCAGAAAGTGCAAAAA